TAAATAGTGCAAACAAGGTCGGACAGGAACCCTGTCTGGTCTTCCTCTATTATATCCGGAATAATATTTTCTAATCTTTTTGCGATTATTGAGGCATATAGTCTATAGTAAGTAAGTATAAACTAAGTTTATAATCGATATCGGTCTGTATGAACTGCACTCAGATTTATCTTTGCCCACCTTAGGAATTACAGAGATGATGGCATGCCTCCAAGAAGCTGGTGTTTCTCCTCCATTAAGAGTAAAATTAAAGCATTTCAATAATGTTGGTGATAGTAACTCTCTAAATGTTTTGTACCATTCTGGCATTTTGTTTGTTTTGAGTCTCGAGATAGCATTATCCAGCTCTTTTTCCGTTATTTCATTCATCATTATTTTATTCTGTTCTGACCCAATGGATGGTAGATCCAGTGAGTTAAGAAACTGTGTAATACTCAAAGAATCAGCTCCTTCCGGTTGTGTGTACAAATCCTTATAGTAATTTTCAAAGGAGTTTTGTATTTCCTTTAATTTATGACACATTTTTCCAGATTGTGTGTCCTTAATTTTATGGATGGACCTTTCCTCCTGTTGTTTTCTTATCCTCCAGGCTAACAGTTTTTTAGCTCTAGGTCCATTATCATAGTACCTTAGCTTTCATCTCCTCATGACTATCATATAGTTTGTTTAAGTCTTGTTTAATGAGTTTTATCTGATCTAATAGTTTGGAATCATTAAGTTCCATGTGTTTCAACTCTAGAATTTTTAGTTGCTGTAACAAGTCTTTTGTTTGTTTCTGTTTCTTCCCTCTTCTTCTTTGATTGAGGACGCACAATATAATCCTTTCCCTTATTCCGCCTTGCAGCCATCCCCATTACAGTATTGGGGACACTTCATCCAGTATCATGTTTTTCTAAAATATTCTTTTAAATTATCTTTTGAATGTATTGATTGCCACACAGAGGGTCACTCTTATAAGCTGTGTCTAAGCCCTCCATGCCTCTGTACTTTCCTTTAATTTCACTGTCTAGGACTGTGTACGATATACCCACCCGCAACTGTCCTGAGAATAAGTCTGCTTTGAGCCCCTATTTGACATTTTAAAAAAAACTCTTGGTGGTCTTCTGAATTAAACATAAAAAAAGTAGTCAATTCTTGAATGAACATTTAGAGGGTGGGAAAGAAAAAAGGTAAACCCTGCTCGTTTTTGGGTTTTAAATTCCTCCCAAACGTCCCATCCGGGGCTTCAAGGAAGAAGTTTCTTAAACAGTGACTGTCTTAGGATAACTCTCGTCTTTTTTTGTTACATTAGTGGAGTCAAGGGAGGTTGTAATTGTATATTCCAGTCTCGACACCAGACAAATAAGGCACCGCCCTCCAGAAGTCTCTTTCAGCCAAAGGTCAAATCGAATATTTTCTTCATAAATGTTTTATCATTACCTGGGGGTCTATACACATTTAATAGTGTTACCTGCTTATGGTCAATGTAACCTTTTACTAGAATGTATCTCCCCTCAGTATCTTTTATCTGTTTTGAGATCTGGAATATAACTTTGTTAGAGATTAATATTATAACTCCTCTCTTTTGTCCATGTTTGTAAGATGAGTAATATGCATTTTTAAAGCCCAAGTGTTTAAACTTTTCATGCTCTTTATCACTGAGGTGAGTCTCCTGCCAAAAAATAATAAAGCCAACCCATTTTTAAGGGTGAGACCAGCCAGCCTGCAGAGGAATCTCATTTTAGCCACTTGCATCCGCAGTTTTCATTCATGTTGTCACTACCCAAAGCTCATATCTATAGGGGAGGGTTGGAACATAAATAGACTGGTAAATCGAAAGCTTCATCATAATGGTCCGGTACAACACCTATATCACTGCTGACATTGCAGTAATCTACCTGTTGCGCTCTCATTTGTGAACAAAACCCCGAGATCCTTGAACGCTTCACTTGGGGCAGCAACTCACGCTCAACCCAGAGGGAGTAATCCAGTGTTTTCTGACTGAGAACCATGGCCTGTTGACTTCTATATTTGAGGACCAGATAGCTCATAGAAACAGCCCCGGTACCCCCTAAAGGGCGTCCCTGTGGACATGGTTGTAAGCCTTCTAAAGGTACACAAAACACATGTAGACTGGATGAGCAGACTCCGATGACCCCCCTCCCAAACAACGCTGCATGGGTAAAGAGCTGGTCCACTGTTCCACGAACAGGATTGACTCCACATTGCTCCTCTTGGATTGGAGGTTCAACAATTGATCGGTGCCTCCTTTCCAATGCCCTGGAATAAGTTTTCCAGAGGAGGCTGAGCAGTGCGATACCCCGAGAGTTGTACCGATACGATTATCAGAAATTCCTCTGATACTGCATCAAATGCGTGTGTCTGAGCACTGATCTGATACCGCATCATTTTTTTGTCCCAAATTGGGACCCAGCTACTTCCTAGCAGTATAAAATGGAATGTATATATTTATATTATATTTAAAATAATATAAAATATATTTTTTTATGGAAGCCACCACTCTTACCTCCTATGCACTTTTAGAAATTATGTATTTATGCCTTGGTTGGGATGGCCAAACAGACTGATTTCTAAACCTCAAATGAGTTCAAGTTCAAACATCTATTCTTTATCTTCATGTGGACATTCTGAAATAAGATTATTTGTTCTTCAGACTATTTTTATGAAACTAGGATCTGGTTGTAAAATCAGCTGACTTATTCAGTGATTGAGGAGTCTTTTTTTTTAACAGAAATCTATAGAAACTGGAGAAGAAGGACTGACAAAGACTTCTTTCTATATTGTCTTACTCAGCATTATGCTAAATCATAATCTGAATAATTGGGCCGGCTGGTTAGCTGATTGGCAGCGGTGTGTTTTAGCCTTAAACTGTAAGAAACGTATATGCAGATTTATAAAATCATACAATCATTCTTAGTTTCTTATAAGTATGTATAAGAAACTAAGAATTATCAAAGTGAAACATTTCACATTTAATGCCCAAAACTAAATTACAAATGTACTACTTTGAGTTTATTTTCAGTCAAACTTAGTTTGGTTTTCAACCAATGAGCACTCTTACTGATATGTATATAATGTGTATGATTACACTCATATTAAAAACATCTCCTCTGTTTGCAGAACTTCAGAATTGACGTGGTGCATCTAGACGAGAACACTATGGAGTTTGACATGGTGGGGATAGATGCAGCCATTGCCAACGCCTTCAGAAGGATCTTATTAGCAGAGGTGGGATACCCATTCAGTCAGGCTTTGTCATGTGTCATTAGTTCCTCATATCTATACAACTACATAATGTTTACCTAAGGTCACCTAATGTCACCATGTCAACATCTTAAAGCTGCAGTAGGGGATTTTTATAAAAATAACTTTTTCTCGTATTTGCTGTAACTTTCACTATATCCTGACAGTAGTACATGAGGCAGATAATCTGTGAAACAATCAGGTTCGTCTGGCTCCTTCTAGTGCTCCTAATGGTATTGTAAGAATCTACTGGGCCTGAACAAAAACAACCAATCAAAGCCAAGAAGGATAGTTGAGTGTTGAGTCTTATTCCCAGTTTGTCAAATACAGTCACTGTGGGACCCTGGGAATGAGACTCAACTATCTTCAAGCTATCGACCAAAAACTCTTTCTCAGCTCTGACTTTTTGTAAGTGACTTATGTATGACAGCTGATAGACCACGCCAGAGAAAGTTTTTAATTTCACACATACATTGTTAGAGCTTTGCATTATTTTTGCTTGCAGGTGCCTACCATGGCTATAGAGAAGGCGTTTATCTATAACAACACATCCATCGTCCAGGATGAAGTCCTTGCCCACAGATTAGGCCTCATCCCCATCAAAGCTGATCCTCGTCTGTTTGAGTACAGGAACACTGGTAAGACAGTGAACTACTCAGACATTACAGTGGACCACTGGGCTCCCATTTTAGTTTTCATAGAACCGTGGTTACATACTTAACTCTTGTTTAACAGGTTCGGTTATGCTTTGTTTATTCCAGGTGAAGAGGCTGCAGAGGAAGAAGGTTCAGAAATCGACACAATTCAACTACAGCTGAAGATTAAATGCAGCAGGAACCCCAGAGCCAGCAAAGACTCCTCTGACCCACGAGAGCTGTATCTGAACCACATGGGTAGGTTTCAGGTGTCCCAAAATGAACAAAGGATTAGTGGTATTGTTTGCAGATACAGTGCATACAAACAAATGAATGATTGTTGAAATGAAATCAGTTAGGGGAGGGGGTTATATCCCGGGGGGTTGATTTCCCCCCGGGATATAATCCCCCACATTAACGTGGTTATTTTTTTCTCTTTTTTTTCATTCAGTTTATTCCAGGGACATAAAGTGGGTCCCCATCGGGAACCAGGCAGACGTGTTTGCAGACTCTGGCATCGGACCGGTACATGATGACATCCTGATAGCTCAGCTACGACCAGGACAGGAGCTGGACATCATCATGCACTGCGTCAAGGGACTTGGTAAGAGCTTCTGAGTGTCAGAGTTAGGTAGCTCAGTACAGAGTTTGTGGGGGAAAAGAACAAGACCGTTTTTATTTCATGGTCGTTCATTCTTTCTTTCAACTTAACACAGATAAACCAGAGATCCTCCTTTTACTTCCAGATCCCACATACAAGACAGTCTTGACAGTCTCCCTGTCAGCTAATGTGAAACTTTGTTTTGATTCACATGTAAAGAGGGTAGTTCAATTACTGTGTCTATTACCTGAGAAACATCTCTAAAATAATATCCTTTTTAACACGCCATGATCTTAATAGACTTGTTAATGCCCTTGTCTCATCTTGTTTAGAGTACTGCCACACCCTTTACTCCTGTGTCAGCCTACATGTATAACTGTACATATGTCTATGCCTTTTTTGTTGTTGAACTTGTTCTGTTATTTATATTGTTAATCTGTGTTTGTACATTGAGAGCAACGTAAAACTAGAGTCATATTCCTGTATGCGTACATACCTGGCCAATAAAGTGATTCTGA